GCCATCAGCTTGACCTTGAAAATACTATCCTTTCTGTCTAGTTGAGCCACAGAGATGTGTACACAAATAATTGTAGTTGAAAGCAGAATGGATTAATGAGAAGTAAAAACAAGAAGTAGAACAGGACTATAAATGAAATGCTACAGGAACAGAGATAAGCAAGGGAATTAGACTTAATGATATTTATGTTTCTTGACTTTAGGTACTAAAATTTTCAACCTCTCAAACACAGCTTTTCCAGTCTACATAAGGAAAAATGTGTACACCCAAATCATGTGGGTCTGACAAAGCTATTTAATAACTCATCCCCATTTTTTTTTTAATCAGAGAGAGAGAGAGCACAAGCAGGGGGAGCGGCAGGCAGAGGGAGAAGCAGACTCCCACTGAGCAAGGAGCCCGATGTGGGACTCGATCCCAGGACCTTAGGATCATGACCTGAGTTGTAGGCAGCCGCTTAACTGGCTGTGCCACCCAGGCGTCCCTCATCCCGATTTTTTAAAGCAATCTTAAAAAAATTATTTATGTTTGTAGTCCAATAAGTTACTCCTATTCTGAATCTGAGTTAATATTGTCAAAAATCAACTGCCAAATTTCTAAAGCACAGGTAAACCAACAGAGGGCCACAATCCATTTCTATGACTGTCATTAGTATTCACCCAAGAGCTGGTAAAGCATCAAAGCATCTATACATAGCTTAATCAATTTCCCTTTCAAATTTTCAGGTATTATTCCAGATGTAACTGTAATTAAAGATTTAGAGGAACATTTTAAGCCATGCCATGGTTACGAATACTCCAAAAATACAGAAGCTCAGTCCTCTGCTCCCCTATCCCTTATCCCACAGTCCCCGGTGCAGCAGAAATTGGTGGGGGAATACGTGGAGCTTCTTGAGAACAGGGAGATTAAAACATAAAGGATGGAAAGGGTGGGGGGAAGAGTAACTTAACAGTGGAGAAACCTGATGAACACTATCTCAGCCAGGTGATCGAGGTTAACATCAACAGCGACAGTCACAGTGATAGTACGTCCCTTGATACTGTGTAATGAGAATGGCACTTTGCCTGGTCTCCCTCACAACAACCCAAAACCCCAGTCTTACTATGACAAAAATACCAGGCAAATCCCAACTGGGAGCTTTCTACAAAGTACCTAACCTCAAAGTATTCCTCAAGACTGCCAGAATCACTGAGAACAAGGAAAGTCGACAGAACTGTCACAGCTTAAAGAAGCCTAAGGAGACAAGACGACCAAATGTAAAGTGATATCCTAGATGAATCCTGGAACAGAAAGAGGACTTTAGGTTAAAAACTAAAAAAATCTGAATAAAGTACAGACTTTAGTTAATCATAATGTATCAATATTGGCTCACCAGTTGGGACAAATGTACCATACTAATGTAAGATTTTAATTAAAGAAACTGAATGTGGGGTATACAGGAACTTCCTACAGTATCTTCCAACTTTTCTATAAATTTGAAACTATTCTAAAACACAACATTTATTTTTTAAAAAGGCAGAGGAAGAGAAGCAGCAATGAAAAGGCAACAGCAACCAAAGGCTCTCTATGTCAACTTTGCAGACGCTCCTGAGAAGTGAATCCAATATTGGTAATATTGTTTCTATAAGTGTATTTTCCTGAATTTCAAACAACCAAGTTAGAAACTAATTCTTGGAATATAATCTGTTTGTAAATTAGGCTGTGTGTATTTGAGAACAAGGCAGGTAATACTTGACCCCTAGAATGTTTTGACTGCCTTTTATCACCAAGGATGTCTTCAAACATTCTAAACACAAATATAACAAACCTTGTTTTGGGTTGGAAAATATTTTCTATCATAAATTCCATCAAGCCAGTTTAATTCATTGACCAGTTTTCCATCAGGCAGGACAATTAAATCATTTTCCATATCTTCCATGTTCATTTTGCTATCACTGAAACCATCTTCATTGGGAATATTTTCCACTGAAATATTTTACTGACAATTTTATTTATCAATCTGTTTTGTCCATATTAAATGTTCCCAATTACAGCTACTTCCACTGTAAATTTATTTTCATGGCCATTATTTCTAGCAAGACAGCTTTCACTAAGATTTTATTATTCCATACTTTTAGAAGTTAAATTTACAATGTTCCCTCTAATTATTATTCATTTATATTATTTTTGATTGCTGTCGATTACTTCTACATAATCATTATGACTCAGACAAAAAGCTAATGGTTTGTATTATTTCTTAAGTAATCCATGAGAAAATAGTGAGTTTTATGAGACAGAGATACAGACTAATATACAGAAATAGTGGCAGGGTCAACAAGCAACAGAGAGAGAGGCAGAGGTCTGACTCCTTACGGACCAGGTCAAACTTCCTTGGAGCCAAAAGTACCATAAAAATGTCCTCTGGGTCATCCAGAATGGTCCAAATAACTTAGTCCAAATGTCCTACACCAGTGTATATATGTGTTTGGTGCATAAGTTAGGAAGAAGGCAAAATAAAGGTGGAAAAGTATTGAGAGAAGAATCAAGAGATTATAATGATTAAGAGCATGGGCTCTGGTATCGGACTGTCAAGGTTCAAATCCTAGCACCACCACTTAACTCACTGTTACTGGGAAAGTTACTTCTCTATGCCTCAATTTCTCCACCTGTTAAATGAGGGAAATGCTGAGGTCACAGTGTTGAGGATTCAATGAGACAACAGAGGTAAACCTTGGGTACAGAGCATGGCACATCCTAAGTTCTCAGCAAATGTCAGTGTGTATGTGAGCAAACATGTGATTGTGAATTTGTCTTACATACTGTGCCTTGATAAATCAATAGTTTGCATGTACTCTTCCATTTAACATACTGCAAACTATGGAAGTTAGCCCTAAAGCTGATTTTTTTTTTTAAATATTTTGTTTATTTATTTGACATAGAGAGAGACAGTGAGAGAGGGAACACAAGCAGGGGGAGTGGGAGAGGGAGAAGCAGACTCCCAGCTGAGCAGGGAGCCCAATGCGGGGCTCGATCCCAGGATCCGAGATCATGACCTGAGCCGAAGGCAGACACTTAACCACTGAGCCACCCAGGCGCCCCTAAAGCTGATTTTTTAAATCCCACTATTTGTGTAGTACATTCCTCTTTTTTATATTTGTAATGCTGCCCAAAATTGATCTTCACATACCATATAACCACCATATGCACAAAAGTACAGTTATATTGTTAAAATCGAGAGAAACACCTTATGTATTAACAGAAAAACACCACATAATGGAAAAGCACAGGTTTTAGAATTTGAGAGATGCAGGACCAAATCCCATTTGTCAACTAAGGACTGGTCCAAGTTAGTGAACTTCTCTGTATCTGTTTTCTCATTGTGAAAACAGGAATAAGACATATATCTCACAAAATTGTGATGAGGATTAAGTAAACAATAGTAAGATGCTCAGCACATGGAACATACCCCATAAATGTCACGTGCACAGACACATACACGCACTTCTTAACCACTGACATTCCTGTCCAAATATTTTGTCAGGTGGTCTCTGCCACCATTTTCATATTTTATGTCCTGTGCTTCCAATGACTTATTGTGGTAGTTTTCAATCCATAATACCAGACGGTTGGGTGTACCCAAAGACCTTCTATAGGGTACAAGGCCATGGATAATTTTAAGAAAATCAATTTCCAGATCTTCAACATTCACATGTATTCTTTCCTGACACGGGCCTGTCTGAGAAAGTACCTGTGCTCTGAGGTGATTCTCCTTTCCTACCTCCCTTTTCACAACCACCTTTGAAAGGAAAGCCCATCTATTTACAAAAAGCATACTCTTGCCCATCTTTAATCTGACCCTGTACATTACTTCAAAGTGTAAAAACCTCTAGCATACCAAAATAAAGTATACTTCCTTTAATCAAGGTTCCATAAATACCCCCAGCTTTCTCCTTAAGAAATAAATTTCCAATACAAATTTTCCTTTTAAACTGAATGTTTATCATGTCTTTAAATGTATTTTTATTATCTTCATGATTGTGTTCCAATAATAATCACAATAGCAACTCAAGCCAGAAGAAAAAAAAATAATAGAGCTTTATGGTCCAAGAAAATTAAGAAAATATATCTAAATGTATATGTGTATATATACACACATACTATACATATATATTGCAAAAAAAGCTTGATAGTGTGATCAATAAACTCTCAAACATAACAATGGGATAAAATGCTGTGGGGAAAGTAGAATGGAAATCAAACTCAGAGGAAAGGTATGATGTAAAATTTCCCAACGTTAAAAAGCTTAAATTTAAATGAATAACGGTAAATAGTAAATCACTACCATATTTATATTCCATTGGATAAATTTCAGAGCGATTTAACATTTTAATTTAGAAATAACAATGGCAAAAATCAGCCAGACATTACATCCCTTGCAACTATTTAAATTTAGGATGAAACAAAAATTAGACAACTTAATTCTTCTAAAAGCTACAAGGCCGGGGGAGGGCGGGGGGGGGGGAGTGTAATCTCTGGCAGAGGGAACCATCAAACATCATCCGGGGTCCTTTCTTTTTTTTCTTTCTTTTTTCTTTCTTTTTCGGGGTCCTTCCTGAAACTCAAGTCAGCCCGGTAATTTAAGTGGCCTGAAACGGGGGCCACTAGTTCAAAGGCCCTCTCTGCCTTCCCCACCCAGCCTTGCTCTTTCCCTGCCTGCCGGACGTCCCCCGACCGCGCACGCCCCCACTCCGCGCGTTCGGGACGCCTTTCTCCCTCCCCTCGCCCCCGCCACCCCGGCGTTCTCAGCTCTCCCTCCCCCGCCTACCCCAGCTCTCCAGCGCAGGCGCGCTCCGCTTCCTTGCCCACCCGCGGCTGCTGTGTCATGGCAGAGCGGAAGTCCCCGCCTCCGCGAGTGTGGCGCGGGGTGAGGGGGTCGTTAAGATGGGTGGCACGTCTGGTAGCCTTCTCCCCTTCCTCCCCTAACGCCTCTTTGACCTCCCACTGTAGGGGGGGCGGTCCCCTACCCTGCACTCTCCCGAACACTTCGTAGTCCACGGATTTGAGTCGCCCGGCGGCAGACATGGCGGCGGCAAGTCCTCTGCCGAGGAGCCGGCGCGGGGTTCGGGACGCGGCAACTGCGGCGGCCAGGAGAGGGAGGGGGCACATGGGCTCTGTCGGCGTACCCCGCGCCTGTCACCGGCCCGGGACGCGAGCGCGCCGGGGTCACGCGTCGAAGGCGGCGAATGAACGGCGGGCGCCGCGAACGGGGTAGCTAAGGACACTAGACGGAGAGAGCGCTCGGCCCCTGGCGCCGAGGCCTCCCTCCTCGCCCTCGCCTCCTCCCTTACGGAGCCAGGCTGGCTTCCCCGGGAGGGATGCGCCGCTTCTGCGCTCCCTGCGATGCAGTTAACTCGGGGCTCGTTTCTCAGTGTTGGTAAATAAAAGCCGGATTCTGTGCCCAGATGTCGATAGTTTGGTAACCAAACGTGGTTGCTTTTTTTTTTTTTTTTTAAGATTTATTTATTTATTTGAGAGAGCGAGAGAGTACATGAGAGGGGGGAGGGTTAGAGGGAGAAGCAGGCTCCTCGTCGAGCAGGGAGCCCGATGCGGGACTCGATCCTGGGACTCCAGGATCACGACCTGAGCCGAAGGCAGTCGCTCAACCAACTGAGCCACCCAGGCGCCCCTGTTTGTACTTTTCATTTGCCACACTCTGAACTGCAAATGGAATAACATCTATTTATTTTAAAGATTTTATTTATTTATTTGAAAGAGAATGAGATAGAGCATGAGAGGGGGGAGGGTCAGAGGGAGAAGCAGACTCCCTGCCGAGCAGGGAGCCCGATGCGGGACTCGATCCCGGGACTCCAGGATCATGACCTGAGCCTAAGGCAGTCGCTCAACCGACTGAGCCACCCAGGTGCCCCAACGTGGTTGCTTTTGAAGTGAAGGATCTGCTAGCTTGGTGCTTGAGGGTACTTGGTTAGTGAGTTAATTTTTGTGAAATGTTTAGGCGACTGCCAACTCTATTTGGCTGTTTTGAGCCAATTCTTATTGTCAGCATCCTCTTCACCTCTTCTATTGCGTCATAAAGGTTTGCGGCCTGAATCCACATTCTACGTGGATTGTGATATTTTCTAAGACGAAACTTTAAAAATATAACCTGTTATGTGCCGTGGAAACGGGGAGGAAAGTAATCGTCTTGTCTGCTATTCACTCACATAGCTTTTTTACGGCCTTGATTATTGTTCAGCAACATCCCAGTTGCCTACAAGGTTAAGGCACTTTGTACTTAGAGAATTTCACTTCATCGTGAGCTATTATGAAGTCTTAATTTAAAGCAACCCACCGCTCCAAAGAATCTGGATACAGCTATTGGTAATCTGCTGCCTTCTAGAATTCCAAATCTTTTTACTTGTGAGAATTTGCATTTCTCAACATATTTGTTGGCTTCAATACCTTTGCATATTTCTCTGCATCTCACAGAGTTAAAATAATCCTCTGCAGTCTGATTAAATATTATGTGCCAATTTTATTAGGGAACACCAAAAAATCACCTAAAACTTGTTTATAATTTGGTTGAAACGTTTTAAAGTAAAATATGTTCTGGAAGTGCTAATTTCCAGGTAATTTTATGTAATGAAGTTCCTGGTTTATTGCAGAGACCTCACAATTTATGTCTTCCTCTCATCTCCCTTCCAGTTTATTCCATGCAGATTCTAGAATCAACATAGATCTTATATCATTTTCAATGACATCTCCTCAGAGTCTCTCCATTGCATTCTGAATAAAAGTGAAGGTCTTCAGCCTTCCACTAACCTCTTATTACCTGTTTATCCCCATCCATAGATTATTCTATAGTTTATAAGTAACCCATAGTCAAGGCACTTTGGATTATTCAGCTCTCTGAACGTACCCTGACCTTTAAAAAAAAAAAAAAAAAATCTTTGCTCTTGGATCTACTTTGTCTAGAATACTTCTTCCTACTCCCAAATCTTCCTCTATCCTGTTTAGTTGTCTGTGCAAGTACTTACCAGATTTCATCCTAATTATTTAGCGTCTTCCCTGCTAGTACTGTGCCTTTCAAGAAGTAAAACTCAAATTGGGTTGAGATCCTGTCACTATCATTAATCCTGTCACTGATAAGGTTGACATTTTCTTTTTCTTAGTCTTTGACTTTTCTCCACATTTACCCAAGAGTAACCCTGCCAATTATTATGTAGCTAATTTTAGAAATGCTAAGCAACAATTGACATTTGCTTAGCTAAAAAATTTTCTGTCTGCCAACTACAGAACATTAGTAAACAGGCATTTTTATGTACTGTTTCAGCATGGATTGCCAATAATATGTGATTCTAAGACTTTAAAATTTTTAAGCAAATGTGGCTAATATTTAAGCTAATTTTAAATAATAGAAATATCTATGCATAGAGAAATTTTTTTAAGTAGAAGGACAAAATCATCTATAACCCTAACACAACCTTTATCATTTGTGTATTCTCTTACACATCTATTTTAAGTAGTTAAAATCATAGTATAAATTCAACCTTTATTCTTTCTTTTTCCGTATTATAACCTTTCCAATAAATATTTTATTAATTTCATGATATTCTGTTATGTGGGTATAACCATAAATTCACCTACTAAGTCCCTGTTGTTATGCACCCAGGTTGCTTCTAATTTTTCATTACTGTAAAAAATATTTTGAAGAAAATATTCATGCACATAGCTTCCTTCCCATATTTTTTAATTACTTAGGATAGAAGTTAGAATACCCAAGCTGTATAAATGTGTACTGTTCTTGATACATATTGCCAAGTGGTTTTTCAAAGGGCTGCACCAATTTCAATATACCACTACCAACACTGTATGGGTGTATGACTGTTTGGCTTCTGATGCAAACAGACGTAAGCAGGTGCTTCACATACAATACATGATTCAATTAGAAGAAAAGTTTTCATTTTATAACCTGAGCAATAGCCTTGAAATAATTAGGCTTTGTGTTACTGCTGGTTGAAATTAAAACCTAGCGAAATCATTCTGTTTCTTGAACCCTTTAAGACAATTTGTGTGTGATACAGGATCATGTTTAAGGTAATATATAGAAAACGAAAATCCTGCCTGTATAATATGAGTGTAAAAAATGACCAGGCCCCAGAACCTGTGAAGTAGGGACAGACAATGTAGTCTCTGTACCCAAAAGACATTTGAACTGAGGAGGTTCCACCTATAAATCTCTAATCCATCACCATGAAGTATTGGTTGAGAGTGATTTCTCAGAAATTTGACATTAAGGTATAATTTCAGGGACAACCAAAATTACTTTATCCATCAACATATTTCTACACCTGAAATAGTTTTACAATAATTATGTTAAAAGAGCAGGAGTCAACAGAATACAAATTGTTAACTTCCACAATTGAAGAGGCCTAAACAAACCAACTCCATGCCTCCCTCATGGACGGAATACTTTATAGACAAAGAAATGGTTAATTAGTACTAAACTGGATTCAAGATCATTAGAGGCCAGTTTATTAGATGAGAAAGCAGCTAGTTTCCCAGAAGAGCCTTTAACCTCATTACAAATTATCAGAAAATTGCTTAAGCATTTTATCAGGAAAGCATATTTCTTCTCAGAAGGAAATTTCCGTCCCAGGTTTGAACCAATTTTTCCTTATCACAGTCCAATTTGATATTCAAAACTTAGAAGTACATTTATCATTAAAGTCACTTCCCTCGGGGTACCTGAGTGGCTCAGTCAGTTGGGCATCTGCCTTCAGGTCATGATCCCAGGGTCCTGGGATCGAGCCCCGCATCGGGCTCCCTGCTCAGCAGGGAGCCTGCTTCTTCTTCTCCCTCTGCCTGCCTCTCCCCCTGCTTGTGCTCTCTCCCTCTGTCAAATAAGTAAATAAGATCTTTAAAAAAAAAAAAAAAAGAAAAGGGACGCCTGGGTGGCTCAGTCGTTAAGCATCTGCCTTTGGTTCAGGTCATGATCCCAGGGTCCTGGGATCGAGCCCCACATCTGGCACCCTGCTCCGCGGGAAGCCTGCTTCTCTCTCACTCCCCCTGCTTGTGTTGCCTCTCTCGCTGTGTCTCTCTCTGTCAAATAAATAAATAAAATCTTTGAAAAATAAATAAAGAAAAAAGAAAAAAAGAAAAGAAAAAAGTCACTTCCCTCTCCTACCCTGGTACTGCTGAGGCTCGAGAGGGGAGAGGGCATGGTTGATACCTCCTACCTCAGTTTCTGTCTGCCTGCCTGAGAATTGGAAGAAACTCGTACTTTTGGAATCCAGTTTGGGCTCTCCAGGATTGGTAGATATTCAAAGCTCATTAGTTCTTTTGAAGGAAACTTTCTGGGGAGGCTCAGAGCTTTCAACCACCAGAAGTGCCCAACATTTGCTCCCCTGATGGACAAGGCCTATACTTCGGCTGTGCATACACACCCCTATCCCAACTTCTGTATCAAATGCTACACCTCCAACCCCTTTCTGCTGAGAGACTAGCCCTCAGCAAGGACGCGTGGGTGGGATCCCTCCTAAAATGAACACGGGACCAGATCCCTCCTTCCCGTCACATCTAATTGTGGGGCTCCTATCTCTGTCCTACCACTGAGAGAAGTTGCAGTTTGCTCTGAATTGACCCCCTCTTTCTGCTGTCTTGGCAGGCATCATACAGATAATCTCCAGCCACAGTCTTTCCTCTTTACTTTCTTCAGGTATGGATCAAATACCAGTCCCTTCTTAGCTCCAAGGAGTAAATGCCAAGCTCTCCAAAAAAAGGGTTTTTTTTTTAAAGAGCCTCTTGGGAGGCACATGGTGAAGGGAAGCACCTGTTTTCTCTCTCCCATAGTGGGAGGGGGGCGGAGAGGGAAAGCCGTAGCCCTCTAATCACTTTCCTGGAAGAAATCCTCTCCAGGGCGCCTGGGTGGCTCAGTCCTTGAGCATCTGCCTTCGGCTCAGGTCGTGATCCCGGGGTCCTGGGATCGAGTCCCACATCGGGCTCCCTGCTTGGCGGGAAGCCTGCTTCTCCCTCTCCCTCTCCCACTCCCACTCCCCCTGCTTGTGTTCCTGCTCTCGCTATCTCTCTCTCTGTCAAATAAATAAATAAAATCTTAAAGAAAGAAAGAAATCCTCTCCAGCCTGATGTGGGTGTCGGGCTAAGGATCTTTTTTTTAATTAACATATAATGTATTATTTGTTTCATCTCTTATGGTTTGTCTCCCTCTTCCGTCTTGTTTCATTTTCCCTCCCTTCCCCTATGATCCTCTTCTTGTTTCTCAAATTCCTCGTATCAGTGAGATCATAAGATACTTGTCTTTCTCTGATTGACTTATTTCACTTAGCATAATACCCTCTAGTTCCATCCACATCATTGCAAATGGCAAGATTTCATTTTTTGATGGCTGCATAATATTTCTGTGTGTGTGTGTGTGTGTGTGTGTTTATACCACATCTTCTTTATCCATTCATCTGCTGATGGACATCTAGGCTCTTTCCATAGTTTGGCTATTGTGGACATTGCTGCTATAAACATTGGGGTGCACATACCCCTTCAGATCCCTACATTTGTATCTTTGGGGTAAATACCCAGTAGTGCAATTGCTGGATCGTAGGGTAGCTCTATTTTCAACTTTTTGAGGAACTTCCATACTATTTTCCAGAGTGGCTGCACCAGCTTGCATTCCCACCAACAGTATA